CTCTTTTTTTTTAATTGTTTCACTGTAATCCTATAGGAAAATACCTAACTCAGTAGAATTTAGCTTTCAAAAACTTAGAGCCCTTTTTTAATGCTTCTTCATAAATTGGTTACTTTATGATTTGTTTGTTTTGGAATTTAAATTTCTCTAGTTTTAGCTCTCGTTTCTTGTGTTCTTGTTTTTAACTGTGATGCACAGCCTACTGTTTTTGACCCTACGAAGACCATTAATCATACATTTCGAATGCATACAACCCAGAAACATAACTCTTCCTTTTAGATTTTGTGTTGCCTCACACAAAATGCAAATATTATAATTTTAATTTTGCGTTCTGTGATTATTCTGAATTACCTTTGGGAACTGCAGCTTTCTAGCAATCTCCTCTGAAACTATGTTATGTTATTCTGAAAAGCCTCTACTGTGTGTACCCATATATACAGACATGTAATTAGAGTAAGTGAATTTGCAGGCTGGTGATGTAGGAGCCTCATCTTTCAAACAGGGTTACAAAATCACATATGCATAAGCAACCCTTTTTTTCTTTTTTTTTCTTCAGCGTTCACAACTTGACACCAAAATAGTTGTTCGTACCTTAAAAATCACTTATTTACTACTTGAACAAGGATTAAGATGTGCACGATCCAGATATTTTCATCACTCTGTTATCTCCTGGCCATGGAGAATTTCTCTTCTGCTTGGAAATTTGAGATCTCATAGGCACTTGTCTTGTGAAAGCAAAGGAATAAGCACCTTGTCATTTGTCGCTTTGGTCGGAGTGTTTTATTTGGAGTTGTAACTGGGAAGTTTAACTTCCTTCCACTCAAATTTCTCTCCATCAGTTAGGAAGACAAAAGCTGCTGCTGTGAGCAGGTAGCATCCAAAGAGTCATGTTTCAGGAACCAGAAATCCATCCTCTTTGGGCAGTGAGAAGCAAACAAAGCAGAATTGTGTAGCTGTCTGCGTTTGCTTGTGAAATACCTCATAAGTGTTGGCATATAAATGGCTGTCCAGAGTATCTGCTGTCTCTGCAGTCTTTCCAGCATTGCCCATAGGTCCTGCAGCGGTGCTTAGGGCTTGATACATGTGGGTGAATGGAGGAAGGGGCCAAACTCTTCTCAGTGGTGGCCACTTGTAGGATAAAGGGCAAGGTACAAGTTGAAACCCAGGAGGTTTTATCTCCAGGTGAGGAGGAACTTCTTTCCTGTGAGGGTGACAGAGCCCTGGAACAGGCTGCCCAGGGAGATTGTGGAGTCTCCTTCTCTGGAGATCTTCCAAACCCGCCTAGATATGACTGAATGCCACATTCTTTGGATGTCCCTGCTAGAGCAGGGGGTTGGACTAGATGATCTCTAGAAGTCCCTTCCAGCCTTAACTGTTCTGTGGGAAGAACCCYCCATGGATATCCTAGGAAAATGCTGCAGGGGTGGGTGGGTTGTGCAGAGCAGCCAGGCGTCCGCAGCCCCCTGCGCGTGCGGAGGGAAGCGAGAGGTGGTGCGGACGCTGCGGGGAGGCCGCCAGGCACTGCAGGGTGCTTTGCCCTCTCAACAAGGCTTTGGGAATAAAACTGCTCCTCTGTTCCCTCTTAATCTTTGTAATATGCTGTCTAGGAAAATATGAATACAGGGTAGGTAGATTTACCTAGAATCGTAAGATGATAAAATGCTTCTGTGTTGTCCATTATGTTTGGGGGAGAGGTTGCCATGACATCTAGAAAGTAGCTCTGTGAAGTTAAGGAGCTCCTTATGTGACCTTTTTAGTTGTGGGGTACAGTTTCTAGCTGTCAGAACAAACATTTACCTTTTTAATCACTTTTGTTACTCTCATTATTTTTAAGTGGAGGTCTGGTGAAAACTTTTCTCTATGAATGATTAAAAAAAAAAAAAAAAAAGGAATACCAAGATGGCTTTACTGACTTGCCGCTAATAATGTGTGCAAAAATTCTTCTTCGTGCAGTATTCCCTGTCCTTTGCTATTTACTTTCAGTAAATTCACTGAGAAGCACTACTGCTTGAGAAATTAATATTGTTCTGTTCTGATGCTGAATTAAACCTGTATTCAGTTGTACCGGCGGTGACGTGAGTTTCCTTCCGTTCCCCCTACCCTTTCTCCGTTATCTCTTAATGCCTTTTTCAAATTTTCTCCTCCACAGTTGGTGGAAACGTGGACTGGAAGCAGATAGCAAGTATTCAGGAATCCATTGGTGAAACTAGCTCCCAAAGCGTCGTCGTTGCTGTAGACAGGTATTGTGTTACATTTGCTGTTTGCGTTGCAAACTTCTAAAACAGTGTTTGAACATCTAATAGGATAGGAAATTATTAGTTATATGAGTGTTTAGCGTTACTATTCTATAAATTCTGCTATATTAAATACTGTTGGGTGTGGGTTGTTTTGTCAATGTGCCTATTTAATGGAGCAGAAATTGTTTGTAGTAAGGAAGAGAAGGAAAATTAGTCAAGAAGTCTCTTTATTGATACAAAAATCATTACAGAGGAGTTGCAAAAATAAAGATGGTACCATCTGATGCATCTTCATTGGTGAGATGTATATAACTTAGCAAATATTATATTTGTTCAGGGAGGATTATTGACAGACCCATTTCTAAATGTAGTTACCAACTCTTTCCTTTCCTCCAGGCTACCTGGATGGTGCCTGAAATTTCCCAAACTATTGTTCCAGTCTGTCTTTCTGCAAATCTTACGCATGCCAACAAGAAATAATCGGGCCTAATAGATGTTATAATTCTCAGCTTGTGTCTCTCAGTACTGATTCCACATGAGTTGTAGTGGATCTTGCTCCCTCAGCACCGTTGCCGAAGGGTGGTGTTGTCGGGAGGCCTTGCAAGCACCTCCATGATTTGAGTAGAGGCAGCAGGGTTGATGCCAGTTCAGTAAAAATTACCTTAGAGTGATCAGCACCGAACTGCCTGAAGACTTAATGTCCAGCCCCTGATAGCTTTTTAGGCTGGCACTATTTTTCCCTGCTTCGTAATGGGAAGTGTTTTCAGGCAGCTAATTGTTGAGGCAAATACAGAGCATGCACCCTGAAGTGTTCAGGCTTCTGTATTGGGAACAGGCTGAACAGCTTATAGGAAACTTAAATTATTCATCCRTCACTGATAGGTKGATAGTACTGGAAACACTGCTCATCCCCAGTCCACAGGCATACATAGGTGCAGTTTTAAATATTTGAAATGATTTAAATCTTTCWTTTTTTTTCCCCACACTCACTTTTAGCTGTGGTTATTAATCCKTTTCAAATAAATAAAAGTAGTTGGGGGGGGTTATAAAGATAACACTCTCTGCATCCATTTTTAATGGATGCCTTGTTTTAGAAAATGTAATAATCTGTTAAACTGCACTTTGCAGAATATTTACAGGATCTACACGATTGGATGGCAATGCAATTGGTAAGTTTAAATCTTTTTCTCTGTAAACTACAAAGCARCTTTGTGGTGACTTTGAAAAAATACTAAAATAAATTCTTTGATTGTTTAACAGTGGATTTTGTCCGCTGGCTTTGTGCTGTATCTATGGATGAACTGCTGTCTGCTACCCACCCTCGAATGTTCAGTCTGCAGAAGATAGTAGAGATTTCTTACTACAACATGGGTCGAATAAGGCTACAGTGGTCTAGAATCTGGGAAGTTATTGGTGATCATTTTAATAAGGTATCCCTCATAATTATACTTCTTGAATTATTAATACAAATTTTATTTAGACAATKTTTTGATCCATTTCTTCTTAAAGAAGAAACTTGCACGTACCTGAATTATGTTGTTTTTTCTGTCTTTATTTGTAAATACTTTAAAACAGGAAAATAACATTGAAGTTAAAAGGTCGGTGAAAAAGTGCAAATTCCAAACATAATAAATGTAAAAGCAGGAATGAACATTGTTGAAGTTATTTCTACCTTGACCCATGTGAAACTGGCTGCCTTTAAGTTGTTATGTATTCTTGTTAGTTTGAGAGAAGTTTGGGATATGAGGCTATTTCCTGTTTAAGTCTCAATCAACTACACAGAATATAAATGCCTGATATGACATGTAGTTTTAATGCAGCATTTTGAAGTYTCTCTAGACTGCTTGTTTATTTTTAAGAAGCTTTAAATGCTAAAATGTTACAGAATACAGTTGATATTGGGCAGAGATTAAGAATTGGGTGACTTAAGTCTTATTTATTACTAGTCTCTAATTTTTAAAAGTTTTCCAGTGCCGTTCAGATCTTCATTATCAAAAATGCACCAGGCTTGTGCTGAAACCGTGAGGAATCCCAAAGCAAACTTACAAGTTTCTGCTTACATGTCAGGTTGGCTGCAATCCCAATGAAGATGTGGCTATTTTTGCAGTAGACTCATTAAGGCAACTCTCAATGAAGTTCTTGGAGAAGGGAGAACTTGCAAATTTCCGATTCCAGAAGGACTTCTTAAGACCATTTGAACATATAATGAAGAGAAACAGGTAATAACATAAAACTAAAGGAATCACTCAGGATCGTAAGCACTGACTTTTTCAATTAATGTTTCAAGCTGCTTTTGTAAAATCAGTTGCTGCTGAAAGATGCTATTCGAATTGATTACGTATTTTAATTGAAGCAATTATTGTTTGTTATCATCTTAACTTAGGTCTCCTACCATTCGAGACATGGTTGTGCGGTGTATTGCACAGATGGTGAATTCCCAAGCTGCTAACATTCGCTCAGGCTGGAAAAACATTTTTTCAGTGTTTCATTTGGCTGCCTCAGATCAGGATGAAAGTATAGTGGAGCTCGCCTTCCAGACAACAGGACACATTGTCAGTGAGTATTGGTGGCCTTCATGGCTAGAGTGGAAGCGGGAATTCTTCTGACTCTGCAGCCTGCAGAGTGAACCTTGCTTGCTTTAGAGCCCATATTTTATACTTTTTGAACAATCCTCTTTGAAAATATTTGTGAGGATAATTCAGCAAGATTGCTGTCATCTGTCTTGCCTTTTAAAATTTTTGCCTATTTAAAGTATTTTAAAGATAGATCATTCAAATCTTGCATTATTTTACTTGCTGCATTCAATTTCTTTTAGGAAGTTCTGGGTTTTTTTTCCAGAAATAATTTTGTGCAATCGTTTGTTCAGTGTTTGTCTAGAGCTCTGTTTAGTAAGAAATGCTAAAASAGGTGGGATTGTGATTTTTCTCCATCATAATCTATGCCTTCTAACTTTGAAGTGCTATAAAGAATCTTTTCTCTCAGCCTCTGCTACTTGCTCAAGCAATTTCAGCTTTGGGATTAAGAATATTTAATTCCTTGAATGTGAGTACTTAAAGCAGCAGGACCACACTGCTGAGAGAAGACCCTTTGTTGGTGAAACACAGTGTGCTAACTAGCTCTCTTTAATCACACAGATTTGATGCTATAATAAGGCAGCAGGCTTTTCTTAATTATAAAATTTCCCTCCTTTGAGTTATATTCTACCTGGATGCCCTTGAGGTGACATTTCATGGAACAGTCTTGTTCTACTCTTTATTAATACTCAACAATTTGACAGGGTCGATCCATTGAGCAGACTTCTGGTRCAATGATTTCATATTAGAATTTATAATTTTAAAAACTGCCTTAAGATAACTGGAGTTTTTTTTACTCCTTCTGTCCACCCTTTTCTTACAGCAATTGTCTTTGAAAAGCACTTCCCAGCAACCATAGATTCTTTCCAGGATGCAGTTAAGTGCTTGTCTGAATTTGCCTGCAATGCAGCATTTCCAGATACCAGTATGGAAGCGATCCGCCTCATTCGCCACTGCGCAAAATACGTGTCGGATCGGCCTCAGGTATAGTCTGTATTCATTCAATCCCAAGTGCTTTAATCAACAATGCTTTTATAATGGGGAAAATTACTTGCCTTTTTGGMTTCACTTCAGGTTTTGGAGATTAATGAGGAATATGCTTAATTTAGAAGGAGCACGGGTATAAAATGCCACGGGCTTTGGAAGTATTGGCACATTTTTGTTTGTTTGTTTCCTTTTCCCTCCTCCCCCAGTTCATCTGGTTGCTAACTTCCTTGAGAATTGCTTAAGAGCAACATCTCAGGATCTGTTCTCTGCTCAGAAACATTGCTAGCAAATATATAATGTCATAAGTGAAAATGCTCTATCTCCTTAAAAGATACTTGAATGCCTCTAGCTTATTATTTTCAAAGTCCATTTTTCATGATGGACTAAACATTACTCTGAATAACAATTCATTTCCCAGTATTATTACTTGGATTGCCAGCTCACTTGAAGTATCATGCTATAACACTCATACCATAGCAGTAATTGTTTGCAATCCAACTTACGTTTTATTTTGAAAACGTTCACACTTCTGGCTGAGCATCGGATGCCTTTATTTTCTATAACGCTGTGTTTGCTTCTGAAGGCTTTCAAGGAATACACGAGTGATGATATGAACGTAGCTCCTGAAGACAGAGTGTGGGTGAGAGGATGGTTCCCAATTCTATTTGAGTTGTCCTGTATCATCAATAGATGCAAATTAGATGTAAGAACCAGGTAACAATCAGTATTTGTAATTCACATTTTAAAAGGCTTGCTTTACACTCTTAAAGGAGAAATAACTAACTCAGTAAATGTACCCAGCCTAAGTTTCACATATGTAGTTGAGTTTATATTATTAAATTATATAGTTATATATGAGTTGTATATTTAATTTAGCTGAAGAGCGGACTTTTAAAAAGTAACTTTTAAACAGATTCTGAAATACAGAAATTAAATCTGTGTTCTCTACATTTAAAACTTTTAAGCTACCATCCATTAGAATACATTCTAAAATTRTCTGTCTGTAATTGCCTTATGTTAAGCAGATAAGTACTTTTTTAAAAAAAAGTGAATGTTCTAAACACTTTAGCACCTATTTAGGGTGAATAACTATAAAGGTATAAAACCTAACACTTAAGTAAATTGAAATATAGCAACTCTTTGTGACTAATTTACAACTTATGTACAACAGCTCAACTTTGTACTTCGTGTCAGATGGAGGACAATTTATATATAGAACACAATAAAATGTAAAAGTCAACTTAACTTTGGTGACGCTTAAATATTATTTTGATATGGTAGGTCAAGTGCAACTAAACAATATGCACTAAGTCTTTCCTTTTAAATCARATATTAAATTAGATTAATATTCACATCTGTATATTTGTAGGAACAACTCTAATCMTCTCTATGGCATTTGTCTGGATACATACAATTTTAAACTTACATGTCTAGATGYAGCCTCTGCATCTAAAGCCCCTCTATAGTCAGAGAAGATTAATACTCATTTTTAGAGCTCTGTTAACTTACCTCAAAACTCTTGTTACTTAGATTTTATTTGTATTTTTAATTTGAAATGACCACAATTCTCAAAATGTTCCATGTACTGCCTGTGACTATTGAAAGTGTATATATTTTTTAAATAATTTTTCTACTTAGTGTGTTTGTCCAGATCAATGTGTAATATTATTAACGGTAATTTTAACAGTCCAGTTCTAGCTGCACACACTTTGTCTATTGTATACTTTTTTATAGTTTTCCATTATATGTTGTTCTCTTTTTTTCTCTCAGGGGCCTAACAGTAATGTTTGAAATAATGAAGACATATGGCCATACTTACGAAAAACACTGGTGGCAAGATTTATTTAGAATTGTCTTCAGGATATTTGACAATATGAAACTGCCAGAACAGCAGACTGAGGTGAGAGGGGGCTGAAAAAATGGAAGGGAGGGGGAAAAATTTGCAAAAGTTTTATTGTTAYAATAGAAAATCTGAGTAATGAGTAATAGCTCTTACCACCTAATATAAAGAAACCCTTGCAACGTGCRTGGTCAGCCACCTGCCTTACCTGCCTTACTGTGTTTTATTCAGTAGTTTCTTCTAAAAAGTAGTCTCTTCTGGAGTGTTCTCTGCAAGGTAGTGTCTCCTTTTCCTTTTCAAGCACTACGTGTAAAAGGACAGGTGAGCAACAGGCTAGCACCAGGCACAGCATCTTTTAAATTGGGGGTTGTGAGCAGAACTGCGAAGCTGATGTGTCTTGAATCTCTTGTACAGCCATTTAGTKGCAACAAGGTTGATGGAATGACACTTGTAATCAGAAGTGAGGTCACACTTGGAAGAGCTGAGAAACGGCTTGTTCAAAACTTGGTCCTGACTTGAATATAAAAAGCAGCCTGCTTTCCTTGCACCCTTATGACCAGCCAAACACATACTGTCCTGACAAGAAAGCAAAACAAATGGGGTTTAGAAAAGCTGCAGAACCTCATGTCCTGTCGTCGCCAAGACAGGCTCTGCCTGTGTTTCTGAGGCTGCAGGCACTACAGTGTCAGATTTTCCTGGAAGCATTAAAGTATAAATTACTGTTTTAGTACTAGAAGTCTGATCAAATTGTTCAGCTCTGTTTATAAAAAGACAGGTTGCATTTGTTAAAATTTTATTCTGTGGAAAATACCTGAAAGACCCAAAGAAATCAGATTGGTGTTAAAATACAGAGTTAATTCAGGCACTGAGTTCAATAAGTTTAGTGTATCATGTGGTAAGTACTTGTCAGTTGTGCTCTCTGATCTCAATAATTATTTGCCCGCATGTGGTGATGTTATATGTTTGTAGAACAAAGTTTCATGTCAGTATCTGGATGATGATACTGATTGTTAGTAAAGCAAAAAAAAATAAAGTTGTTTAAATATATGTAGTATAAATGCAGGCAGGCATGTCCTAAAATCTGTAATACGTAAAAGTGCTCAAGTCTTACCTGAAACAATGTTGTTGCTTCTTTTTTCCCCTCCTAGAAAGCTGAATGGATGACAACTACTTGTAATCATGCACTTTATGCAATATGTGATGTATTCACGCAGTATTTAGAAGTACTTAGTGATGTTCTTTTGGATGATATATTTGCACAGCTGTACTGGTGTGTGCAGCAAGGTAGGACTGTACCAACTTACATTAAACAAAGCTAACATTTTGCCATGTTGAATGCGAATAAACACATGCGCTGTTTGTCTCTTYCAGACAATGAACAACTAGCACGGTCTGGTACAAACTGTTTGGAGAATGTTGTCATCCTAAATGGCGAAAAGTTTACCCTAGAAATCTGGGATAAGACTTGCAATTGCATGCTGGATATTTTCAAAACTACCATCCCTCATGCGTAAGAGGACTGTCGATACTCATACTTTGTAACGTAGTTTAGATAAATGGTGGTTGTGGATTTCAAACTGTTGGATCGCTCTACTAGGTGCGGGGGAACAAAAAGCACTTACACTCTGTTGGGCTGTTTAGCTAATAGCAGGCTAAATAGACGTGGTCTTTTCTGGAGCATAATGATTAATTATGTCTTCCTCCTATTAAAAACTAGAAATGCCACACAGGAGGTGAGCAAAGAAATACTGTAACCTGGTACAACTTCAAAAGGGGTGGCTTTTTTGAGAAACCATCTCATCTCAGACCATCTGATCTCTGGTCGTTTTGTTGATTAGCAGAATAATACCATTGATAGACTTTGCAATTTGTAATTACACGTAAAGCAGTCTATTTTTCAACAAAATGTGAACTGGAATATTGCAATAATATTGTTAATTTAAGACTTTGTGGTTGACTAATTTCCATCCTATATTTATTTAAATCCTAAATTATTTTTGAACATGCTCCTCCATGCTTGGTAATTGTCATTGTGTTCAACCTACCTCTAATTTAAAGTTTCTTTGAAAAAAGCCCTAGTATTTTTTAATAATGTGTCACACACGTCATGGAGCAGAGTAACAAGAAATCACTTCTAGCATTACTGAGGAATAGAATTTTCCCGCTATTCCACCCTCACAAAGTTAAAACTTACCAAGTTAAAATATGGCCTGTTTTGAAATCGAGGCATTTCTCAATGTCGAATTGTGACATTAATGGTCATCTTGTGTCCGTGACTTCGTGCATAGCCTTTACTTCCTGATATCCTGATATTCCTGAAAGATGAGATATCTGGGAGTTAGCTGCTTTTTTTTTTTTTTTTTTTTTTTNTTTTTTTTTTTTTTGGCATTTTTCAAGAGTAAAACTTGAAACCAGATCTCTGGAGCTAAAAGATCAATCGAATTAGACCTAACTTAGTATGTTCCTTACTAGAAGAATTTTAAAGGAAACACCTGCTGAACATTTTCTTCGTCTTCCACCGGTACTCAAAATTTCTTGCTCCTGAGTCTTCTTACAGTTGATTATTAGAAACTGTTTTGTAGAAGCATTTTGAAGATGCTCGTCTTCTGACATGCTCAAAACTCTGTTGTCCTTAGTTCTTTCTGCTTTGAGATACATATTACTATTATGGCACTTCTACTTTTCAAGCAGGATAGTCATCTTGAGATCGTATCCAACATGTTCCATAAGTTTCTGTTCTTTCTTTCTCTCTCACTGTCTTTTTGATCCTTCTAAGCCCTTTTTAAAACTTCACTCATCGTGCTATTTCCATTGTATTTCTGAGAGATTTCCAGCTTAGCAGGAGTGAAGTCCATCTCTTCTGGGCTTCACGTGCAAAGTATTTCCTTAAACATGTGTCATCAGCTGCCTTTCTCCTCATGAAGTGTTTCCTTTTTTATAAATACTAGGTGGGCAACCCAAAACTACCCAAACCAGTCTCTTGACTTGGACCATATTTTATTGAAGCTACAGCTTGTTAAGTAGGCAAGGAGAAATTATGTTAACACGAATATGCAGGTTTTCGCTTAGAATTTTTAGTGGCACCTTGTATTCTTTTATTTCTCTGATCAGGTATAGTTGCATCTATTTTGTCAGCATTTATTAAAAAAAAAATAAAAGCATGTTGCAGGTACTGTGTAACATACTCCCTTAATATAAGGTCTTTCATGTTGCCTCCAGTCGTTCTTTAGTTGCAGCACTAGCTTTTGCTGCTGCTCATCTTCACAAATTATCTTTTTGCAGAGCGAGACAGAGCCAGGTAATGATACTGTTTCCATCTCTGAAAAACTCTGCACTCAATTAGCTGCATCAACCAGGGCCAGGACTGTGTGTTCAAAAACCCTAAACTCCTGTAACCACCCACACTATCCGTCACTGAGGGGAAGATCACAGAGTGGCTGAGGTTGGAAGAGACTTATGGAGAGCATCCAGATACTTTCATTTTAATAGTTTCTGTGTTTCTACTTTTTCTTTAGTTTCTGCTCACTGTACAACTTTTTTGGAAGCCCCTTGAAGCTTAGTGAGGGAAAATCTTGGCTTGCTAGTGCTGAGGAGGCCAGCGTGAATGCCTTCTTGTCATGGGGAGCAGCAGGGATTTGATGTGGTGACTTGTACTAATTACAATAATCCATCATCTGCTGCCTCCTCTGTTATCCCCAATGCCTCCTGTGGCAGAAAACTTTATAGTATGAAAAAAAATTAGAGTGACTTCAACGTCTGACCGGGAGTAATCTGCAGCTGCTTCTGCAAGGTAGCCTTGTGTCCTGACAGCTTTCAGGAAGCAGTTTGTTTCTTTGATGTTGTCATTTTTGCTTTATTTGTTATCTTGCTACACACCTCTAGATTTTCTTAGGATTATCTCCAATTTGTCTTAGTTTAATGGGCTTGAGAGGTCAGTGTGCCGTGAGCTTAGGACCCTTAGCACATCGGGAAGATCTCGCCCAGCATCCCCAGGCACAAACATCCTTCAAACATTTCCTCACGCAGCCCAAGGATTTATTCCAAAAATGCCCACTAAAGGGTTTGAGATCCTACTCGAGAATAACTTCAGCCTCCCTTTGTAGTGAAGGATGTGACAGAACAGAGATGATGAGACCACTTAGGCTGTTTTTTCCAATTCCCTTCAATTCTCGGCAGGTAAAGGCAGCCTTAATAAATTACAATTAATGCTGAATTTTTTTTGTGCTTAAGGCCAAGATCCTCAAGACAGCAAGGTGCTAGAAAAGAACAGGGAGCAGCTCAGAAATGCTGCCCCTGCCTTGACACCTGATTATAGCAACGAATGTTAAGTGGAAATGCCCAGAGGAACCACAGAGCTGGAACATCCTGCAAATGCAGGGCATGGCAAAACATCCCCGGCTGTTCCCACTTGTTTAGCCAAGGGAGACTCGCTCTTTTTTCCAAATCAAGTTTAAGGCAATGTGACAGAAACTAAGACCCACTAATTGCACTGAAGTACTATTACTTTGCCCAAAACCCTATTTCTCATGTTTCAGAGGAAAACGAATCCACCTCCACAGAGGCAGTTGTCCATCGAAGGCAATTGGCAGATGTATTGAAGTTCAGAAAATCAGTTTCTTAATTTTATTAGTATGTGTAAAAGGATAAAATATATGTATTTTACTCTTTATTAATTTATGAAGTAGCTAAAATAAAACCTTTTTATGTTTATCATCTATTAATTTAACTTCAAAAGACACCATATTTGTTTTGATACATATTTCCAAATGTGTAATTTTCTGCTCATTCTGTGTTTTCAAGGCTGCTGACTTGGCGACCCAGCGGTGGAGAGACTGGCCCTGTATCTCCCTCTGATGCGAGAGAAAAACTGGTAAGCTGGTAAAACAAAAAGCAGTTCAAAAACATGCAAGAGTTTGCTCGAAATACGTTGTAATGTGAAATAAATGGAACATACGCCAGTTTAAACCCATGTTTTAGTTTTGGCTTAGATGGAAATGTTTCTTTTTCCAGATAAATTACTGTTTACTGATAAAAATTGCCAAGGGGTTGAGAAAGCAAAGTGAGGATTGCAGCATTTGAAGTGGGCTTGCAGAATCTGTGAGCCAGCGTGTGTGCACGCTAGGTAATGGCCTGTGTCTGATGGGTCCTTACCAAAGGTGATACTGTATTTAGAGGTTTGTTTAATATTCATTTTCATGGTGATAAAAGGCTGGAGGCAGAGAGATGTAGGAATTTTACTGTATTTCAAATTTTCACTGGTAACCCAAATTCACATAAATATAAAACTGAAAATATGTATACCCTTCRGATTCTGTGTCACTCATAGAGTAAAGCAATGTGAACTTTGAATTTGCCCATAAGTGACAGCCCTTGGCTGCTGCTGAGAATTAGTTTAGCTTTTGATTAATGGCAGAAGATTGTTCCTTCTAGGTTACTGAAGCATTTGGTAAGAAATTGTACAGTGAAAAGGACCAAAACCATTTCTACTAAGAGATCACCTACCCCCATTTATGCAAATGTTAATTTAATTTACTTAGAATGTAAACATCTGTGGTGGCCAGTGCCCATT